CGCCCACGAGAACTCGACGTTTGATGACGTTACGAGGCACTGGAGAGCAGTTCAATTACATGTTAATTAAGTAATAATGCCGTAAGAGACTTTAAAGGAAAAAAAAATAACAAAATATAGAAATACAATTGACTGCCGTCATGAGAAAAGGGCCCTTATCTTTTGACGTCACAATGCTCAGAAAACGACGTCAAAGTCGCGGTATTGTAAACACGGAAGTAAATTTTGTTGACTGCGTTTTTGTAGAAATACACTTGTAGATAGAATGAAATAAAACTGGCTTTCCTGGTGTGAAAAAAAATAAAATCATACGAATTTCGAAGCGGAAAATTTTAATAAATAACATTTTTACCATTTAGTACATGTATTTATTCAGGTTTCTGTGTAAATACTCTGTATAACATAATCCAAACGTTATGTTGAACGCATTATCAGATAGAGCGATTAAAAGCGACGTCTATATATGATGCAAGGCTACAGATATATACTAGTATATATATATTTTTCTTTTTTTTTTGACTGAGCTGTTTGAAAATGCTTATATTCGACTTATACATTGATGTATTAATTAGTCTTAGTACTGATAGGTAGTTAGTACATACATTTATATTTTTTCGGGGGGGGGGGGGGGCACTCAATGCACATACACATGTACGCGTTGTTTAAAAGTAAAAATGCTTCTTTCATTTGGAAAAAATATATTGTAATAATGTTATGACATACATGTATTTTATTTTTATTCCATTGCTCATCATATCAATAAGCGCAGCTAGACCAGTTCAAGTGTGTGGCGTTGTTTTCCAAGTGGAGATGGGGGGGGGGGGGGGGTATAATTAACAAACCAAAAAAGTCTCCAAAGGTATAGATACTGTAATATGGGAAATTTGATGTTCCTATCACAACAATGGAAGGGGTGTGTATGCGGCAAAAGGCCTTTTCATGAATAATTAAAAGCATGAGAGTATTATCCGGGAAAAATTGGGGGGGGGGTCCCTTTCCCCTTTGATTATACTGCCTAAGGATCAAAGAAAAGTGATGTGCGTATCTCTGGTAAATATGTAAGTTTTGAAATCGGGCATAATAAACATGTGTACATAGCATAAAAACTTGCACTATCGAATGTTTTCAAAGTTTTTTGTGTCTTTTCCACAGTATTTTCGTATCCATTGTTTACTTGTACATGTAAGAAAGCTCAAATCGAGAACTAATAAACGGTGAAATTACACGATCCCGGAAAACAATAAACCATGCACAAAATTGCTGATGAATTTCATAATACGAAGTATTTGCGTTAACAAAAGTTGAAGTACATTGTTATCATAAATATAGAAAAAAGTATTATTCTTTGATAACAATTACCTATTTCTGTTTTGTTTAATTTGTTCTGATGAAAGTCAGCTTGAAATTAATTGAACTTGCATTTTGTTTAGGAATTAAATACAGTGAAGGTGGAACCCCCCCCCCCCCCCCCCGAGTAAGTAAACAACAGTCACTTCGATAGTAGTTTTAAATGTATGAAAAAGAAAAGAAGAAACAATAGATTAGGCTTTCAAGAAATTTACTTCGGATAAATGGCGATATGACGACAACCTTTGATAGAAATAGAAAAAGTACTAGTAACAAGCATAAGTGGTCGTGGGTGTCATTCAAATTGATATAAAAATTCTCAAATTGTCAATTTTAACATCAACCGCAAGCTCAACAAAGACAATCAACAGCGGCGGATCCAGAAATTTCATAACAGGGGGCGAAGTAGAAAGCAGGGGCTCAGGGGGCTGCATTGAAGCCTCCAGCGGGTGCAGAGCAAGGCCCTGCTGGGGTCCGGGGGCGAATCCCCCGGAAACTGACGAATTCTAACAAATAAGAGGTGTTTTTTCCCTTGATTTTAGGATAATACAAACAATTTTTTTTTTTAATTCGAAGGGGGGGGGGGGCACGCCCGGCGCTGGATCCGCCTTTGATCAAGAAATCTACATCATTGGAAAAAAAGAGAACCGGTAATGATTTGAGCGAAAAAGGAGACGGGTTTTCACATACAGCTTTGTAGCTGCTGGTCTGTAGCTCGTTGATCTGCACGAAGAAATTAGTATAGACAACCGGAGAGTTATAAGACGAACTATTGAAAATATAGCTTTATATTTGTTTCTTTCTGTGTACTACTATATTTCATTTGCTAGCTCAAAATATTGCAAACGATGAATTCCTAGCATGCATTCTACTTTTATTTCATGATCGTTTGAGAAATATGAGGATTTATTCAGTCAAGAAAAATCATATTTCCCGAGTCGAACAGGGATATATAAAAAATCATGGACTTGTCACTTGGCTGTCTGAAACCAATCAGATAACGCTTATATAGAACAATTATAATGAGGTTTATAAATTCTGTTGCTTCTTCTTTTAAAACTTTGATGCCTGTAAAATATGTAAGGAAGAATTTGATTTTTGTGAATAAATGAAATTAAGAAATAAATCAAAAATACGCACGTACACGCGCACACCTTTCAGCGTTTATTAGCTAAAACATTGCAGGTGATTGCCGACTATTTTTCTATGTTCGGCAGGTAAGAATTAATATATGATCGAATTTAGAAATGTTTATTACAGAAACTTCATTTTGAGATTAAAGTAGCGGCCCTTTTACTAATGTTTGATTTGTTGTGTACAAATGTTAGTAACGTCGAGAAGAGGAAAATATTTTAAATTTCACAATAATGATTAAAGATAGCATAGGTAAAAAAAAAAGAAAAAGAAAACAAAATGAAGGACAGAGGCAGTTATAACAGCTTTGATAACATATGATTTACTTGTAAAGAGAAATAAGTTGACAAACGTATCAATTTTCATACACGGGCTAAACTTTTATGAGACAATCCTAAGATCTGATTTTTTGCTTCTATTTTCTGTTTCTACTCCATCAGTAAGGCAGGCGCAGAAACAAAATTGTATGAACATTGAAAATTTTTTTTTTTTTTTTTCAGAGTATACAAAAGAAAATGCGCTTGGAATTTTAAATAGAAAACAAATATTTTAATATATGATTTTCACGTACTACAGATAAATCTTTCTGGAAACAATTTTACATATCATGACGTGATATTTTGTCCATTAGAATTCATCTCTGATACAGAGAATACGCGAGGTTTTGTTTGGGTTGGATCTTCTATCATGTTGTAAATTTTGAATTTACTAGGGGGAGGTAAATGCAAAATTTACAACATGTTGTAAATTTTGCATTTACCTCCCCCTAGTAAATTCAAAATTTACAACATTATACTTCCCTTACTCTAGAACTGTGTTGATTTTTTGATATTTTAATGTACAAGTGCTTTATATATTCTTTAATTGAGCTAGAATAGAATGCCTAGTATGGAATTGTACAGTATATGCATTTTATTTTCGAATGAACATAATCCATTTCTAGAGCCTAGCCACCCCCCCCCCCCTCCTTTTTTTCCAAATCCATGTAACTGGATCTGCCTCTAGAATTGTAAACATGTTAGAACTAAGGCAAATCAGGGTTTATATTGACAAACTAGTAACTTGGAAGAAGAAATCAAATATCGGCTAGAGTTTATAAGTATCATTAAGTTTATTTGAATAATTTAAAACCGAATTTTACGCTCGCGACGTCATTACGTCTTCATTGAATAACGTAAACGTTGTTTTGATGCGCCTTACTAAAATGATCATAAAATAGTAAAAAAAAATAAGATATTTTTAAAGGTAATATATTTTTGCATTCAGGAAGAGTCAGGCTATCAAAATTTACCAAAAAGTCATTTTGTGAAATTTTGACCTTAAGGGTCCTTTTCTCATGACGACAGTCAATTAATACTTTAGTAAACAATTGGATATGCATTTTTTGATTCGATTCCCTGGGTAGAACAAAACATACAATCAGCTACTGGCAATAAAGAAAGCTATCACTCCAGACCATGTCAAGATTTTGTATAATTTTCTTTGCTTTTACCTTACCATTTTCTGACGAAAACTGTCATTTGGTGTTATGATAAATTGTATGATTTATAGATGTGCAACACTTATTAAATGGTACAAATGAAAACAGAAATATATGTAATATGTATAAGTATATGAACTGATATTTTAAATCAAAATGATTTTTTTGTACCCAAAGGGACCAGCAAGGGTACAATGTAAACAAACTGGAGTGTCATACCTTTCTCTCTTATTATGTGAAGTCGGGTATTTTTGTATGGAATGATTTCTTTAAATTTCTTTTTCCTGTGGTATTCATGATAAATGAGTCCTATACTAGTAAACTTAATTTGTGAATCAGATATTCTAACTTAAATGACCCTTTGAAGTCAAGTGGATTGTAAGAGAACACGTACAATATGTTTTGAGTTTTAAAAATAAGATTTTTTTGGCTTGTTCAACGAATACTGTTTAATCTGTTACCTTTGCAATCAGTTCCACTGTGAATTCTGACCCTTAGTCAAATACAAATTTTACTGATTTTCTATGTTTTTTACACTGTGCAAACCGACACCCTGTCTATTCAGAGTGCATGTCAGGTTAGACAGGTTTCACTGTATATAAAAAGATAAAAACTTAATCCAGTTGTGATTTGAGTTAGGATTATATATCTTACCTAAAGCTTAAAAAAAAATAAATTTTCTTGAAGGTAATAATACGAAAATGAATGTTTTAAAATTAAACGAAATGATTATATTATATCATTAAATTATAATATTTATTACCATTTTAAGAAGGTGTTTTGAAAAGATGTGCTTTAACGTTTTGATTGAATATTTCATAGCTAGGAAACAAAATCATTGATAAAATTTCTTCACCAGTGATTACAAAACATTTTGCATTTTTTTTAAACAGTCAAAAAGATTTAAAGTATTTTTGAAATCATTCTTAAAATAATTTTATTATCATTTTGTGCTTCCCGCCTTCATATACTTGTGTGCTATATGTAATATTTTTTACTACAAATAAACTTCAGTTAATTAAAAAAAATAACACAACTCTCTTCCGTATGCATTTATTTGCTTCTTCTTTGAAGATCTTTCTTGATTAACCATACACAGGTTTTTTGCATACCCATGGAAACACTCTACAAAGCTTTGAAGAATTTCCCCGTCCTTGTAGTGCTGTTCCTGATGTAAAATTTGGTTTAATTCCTGTTTGAAATATTGAAGAAATTTTATTATTCTTTAAACAGTGTGTTTTAGTAACACTAATAGAGATTTTATTTGAGTTATAAATAATTGCATTTTATTGGGAACATCTTATATATTTCAGGACATTTTTAGATAACAATGATTTACATACTCAAGTATCTAGATTAATTTCTTTCTTTTTTTTTTTTTTTTTTTTTTTTTTTTTTTTTTTTTTGAAATTCATTTCATATACTGAAAGGGGCATGGTCACAATTTTAACGTTTATATCCATCAAAGTTTCGGTGGAATTCTATGTTTTACATGCATATTTATTACAAAATGAATATACAATTATTACCTTTTGAGAGAAGTTTCGCTTCCTGTCTATTCAATGACGTCAACCATTGTTCCGGATTTGACCGGAAGTTATTACAAGTAGGAAAGTTAGGTGGGACCGGAGGCATGTCCTCAATGTCACCTTCCTGCATAACCAAATTCATTCCTTCAGCTTGATGGTGCGTTAAATGGCAGTGCAAAAACCAGAAACCTAAATGATATGATCATATATGAATAAATCTGAAGCAGCGATTCTGGTAGGTTTATCGGTCGGGGAGGACGGGATGCATATTCTGTCCCTTTTTTTAAAGATTATGTGTTTTCTCAAAAAAATTGAAAAGTACGCTGAAAATTCATTCCCCATTCCAATTAACTCCCCCTCCCTCGCACCAGCACCAAACAAGCATACAGTCATTTGTCCTGTAAAGTCCTCATAAGCCCTTAATTCTCGTTCCTGAGTACAACAGAAACTTTCACCACAATTCATTTTTAGTAATATATATTTATTAAAGTGAGGACTAAGTAATATGTAATATACCAGGTATTTTAAAGTGGGATTACCGGGATTATCAGCAGTTAGTCTAATGATGACGTAACCATTGGCAGGAACAGTGACAGTATCTTTTATGGGAGGATTCACTAGATTTAAGCCAGGAATGTTTCCATTAATCCAGGATGGATCCGCCCACGTTGCTTGTGCACAAAGCTGATCTAAACATCTAATATCCGGGTTTCGTGCAGTAGCATTTCCGGTTTCTAGGTCATAAGGTGGATATCCGATTTTTAGGACATGAAAATGATGCCCGTGTAAATGGACTGGGTGGGCTACTTTGATATCACCTGAAAATAAAAAAATATATAGATGACTGTTTTAAAGTAGATTCAGAAAGAAAATGAATTTGTTACTTTGATGGATTAGATAAGATTAGGTAAGACTAGATTAGAGAGAGAGAGAGAGAGAGAGAGATGTTCTATAACTTTTCTTACTGAATGAGAATAAAACAATTTCGATTATATTTCCCAGGTCGAATTTCAGTATTTGCGTGCACCTGCAGCCTTCGGCAGTACATGTCTCAGGACTACAAGGGACAATTGCATCCTGACTAGGGAATGTCTAGAATAAAAATAAATCATGTTAATACAACAAAGCCATCTTGATATTTAATATAACATCGGAATTTACACCCTCATTTGTATTTTATATCACCAACTGAACTGAAACATATGTCAAACACGGGCACTTGCAAGCGGAAGCTTCCCTCACGACAACAAATATATTCAAATTATTTATTTTGGGATCGCTGCAAAATGAGAAATAATTCTTTTGGCAAGTGTTAGCTGATTACGACAGACGTGTTCTGAATATATATTCATATAGATTTATATCGGACTTAAAATAAAGTAAATTCTCTTGCAGAATCATGGAGGAGATTTAAATTATCATATTTTTCTCTCTCAGCAGATCTGGCATTAAATCTAGTTATTTATTTTATCAAAGGACGGAATTTTATAGACGGACAGTGGGCAGTTATAAAAGTGCTTAATATCTCTAGCTTGTGTACAGGTGAATTCAGAACTTTATGGACAATTTATCTCCATTTTAAATAAAATCTTAAGCTTTTGGGCTATTTTCATTAAAACAAATACGATTGGTTAAATCGCTTAAAGGCTATGTTTACATAATGAAACAAAAAATATTCTGGTAATGACCCCTTGTCCCTGACGGTTATAAAATGTCACTCTCGGTTTCAAGAATTTTGGTTACAAGCATATAGAATTCAAAATGAAATGAAACCAGGATGTTCTGATGAAAGTTAAAAATATTTTCAATATACCAAAAGTCCAATTTTCATTGTCAATAATTGCATATTAATGTCTCATGTTTTATATACGCTTATGAATCAATAACCTTCAATAATTTAGCTCATCATTTCACAAGAACATTTCCTTGAACACTTGTCAAAACTTCATTCAATAAATTGCTATCACAATCTAACACTAACCTCTAAAGTAAGGAATAAATCACATCCAAATTCTGATGTTAATTATTCAAAAGCGGAAGTGAAATTATTAGAATATATATAGATCTTTTATCTTTAGAGCAATACATGTAATTTATATGAAAGAAGATTTTTTTTCAGACCGATTATGCAGGATTTAGGAGACTATTTCTTTTTTTTTTTTTTTTTTTTTTTTTTTTTTTTTTTTTAGATCTTTTGTTTCACTTCTGAAATATTTTCGTTTAAAATAATATACATGAAGAGAAAGCGTTTTGCAAATACTGCTGGAACTGATACTTAGTTATACAAGCAATAAATTTAACCCTGTAAAATAAAAAGTAATATTTTAAAAACATTTTGGAGGATATTTAGTTCCTAAAATAGTTTTATTTAACTGTGATATAGTGGAAAAAATCTCGTGAGTATCTACTTCATTTATCTTTTTGAATAGATTCTTATATGACCTTTTTGTAATAATTAAAATAAGAGGCTCATGGGCCACATCGCTCACCTGAGCACACTGGCTAGGAAGATTTCAGTTCAGTATTGAAAAGTTTTAAGGAGTGGGGGCAAATTTAAATTTACACTACCTCAGGATGCTTTTATATCAATATTACTAATCATGGCTTTGCTGTTCTTAAACAGAAGAATTTAAAAGATTTTTTTCTCTATCTATTCCTATGTGAAACTCTGATTGCTCATTGTGACCCCACCCTACCCACCGTAATTTGAATCTACACTACCTAATTATATGTTGTTCTTGAGCAAAAGACTTTTTCAAGATGATTTCTATATATTCTTATGCAAAACTTTGCCCCTCTATTGTGCCCCCAACCCTGAGGGGTCATTATTTGAACAAACTTGATTCTTCAATACCTAAGGATGCTTCTGTACAAATATGACTAATAATGGTTGAGTTGTTTTTGATTTAAGATTAAGATTTAAAAGATATTTCCTACATGTATGTAATGGTATGATCAGATTCTTACAAGGGTTAAATAGGTTTTCCTTTTACTATATCTGAGTTAATGATTGGAATTATTATTAACACAGCTCTGTCTGAGGGTATATCACACAGTTCTTAAATTTTCTCTTATCTAGAGATGGATACTGGGTAAAGTACTACTTGCACCGTGTTTCTCCCCTAGGTTCCCATTGATAGTTAAGAACCAGTTGTCTCAATCTTCTTCAGATTTACTACACCCAGAACTTAACATCAATTTCACAAGATACTTGCCACTAGTGTTTATAACTTTTATGCTTTTGTTTTGCTCTTACCCTTAAGGTTTTCCATCCTCTATCCCCATCACAAATGCCCATCACATACATAATACTCTGATATTACTAATTAGTAATTTAAAGCATTTTTCAGTAGAAAAGTATTTACCAAGAGAAAGTTTCAAAAATGTTATTAACTAAGCCGTAAGTACTTAACAAAGATTGCATTGAAGTCTATGGAGCAATTTTTAGAATAAAAATTCAAAATAATAAGAATATCAATAAATACTCTATTTGAAAAATGCACTAAAACACACAAGAAATAGAATGACAATTGAAAACGAGTTTTTTTAAACCAGATGTTTCTTAAAATTTATTTTTTCATTAAGTAAAAACAGAGGGAGATAACTCTGACCAAAATTCAGGGTCATAAATTAGGATATATCTCACCCTTACATGCTAATAGTAATAAATGGGAATTATGTCTAAATATACTGAATATTCAACACCTACCATCTGTTATGTATTTAATTTCATTGGATCTTTTGCTATTAAGATAGAATACCTTACCTTCTTTATTGCTGTTTCATCATTAATTTTCTACAGCTACCTTCTGAATGCCCGACTTTCCCAAAGCTTTGCCTTATATACCCTTAGGCTAGTCCTTATCCATTTCACCTATATATTCCTATGTAAACCTTGACCCACTGATGGGCCCCGCCCTACCCCCAGGGGTTATGATTTGAACAAACTTTAATCTACACTACTCTGTATTGATATGTCTAATAAAGTCTTAGCTGTTCTTGAGAAGAAGATTTTTATAGATATTTCCTATATATTTTTATGGTAAAGTTTGACCCCCCTGTTGTGGCCCTGTCCTACCCCCAGGGGTCATGATTGGAAAAAACTTGAATCTACACTACCCGAGGATACTTCAGTAACAATATGACTAATCATGGCTTTGCTGTTCTTAAGAAGAAGATTTTTAAAGACATTTTTATCCCCTCTTCTGATCCCCTCTTGTGGCCCCGCCCTACCCCTTGGGGGTTATGATATGAACAAATTGGAATCTAGAGTATGTAATAAAGCTTTCACATACGTTTTATCTTTTCTTGCCCAGTGGTTCTTGAGAGGAAGATTTTTAAAAGATGCAACCAAATTTGTACGAATTCTTAATTATCTCCCCTTGAAAAAGGGCGCTGCACTTCCTGGGAATAAACTTTTATTCCCTTCACCCAAGGAGGCTTTGTGGCAAGTTTGGTTGAAATTGGCCAACAAGTTCTTGAGAAGAAGTCGAAAATGTGAAAAGTTTACAGACGGCAGACGGACGCCGGACACTCTTTGATCAGAAAAGTTCACTTGTGCCTTCGGCTCAATTGAGCTAAAAAAAAAAACCCTCTGCAAGCATTTCTTTTCATAATTAAGAATCTAATCACTCTGTAATTGCTATATATTTTGTTCTCATAGTGAAAGAATGTAAAGAAAAATTATGAACATTTTTTTTATTTGTAAGTTTATGAATATCTTTGAATACAGTGAAACTACTTCAAACAAGTTAAGTAAATGATTTCAATATAAATTGCATGAAAAAAGATGATTACAATATTCGAAAAATGTTTCATGCAAGTGTTTCGGATAAAATAAGTATCTCTCATGAATAAGTCACAATTATAATCAAGTTTTACCTGAAGAACAGAGGTAGGTTTTCGGAATAAGGCACCATTTATAACAGGTTTTGTATCTGAATGATGGGAACAAAAAAAGAGTAGAAAATTGTTTACATCGACTGGTACTCTAGACATAAAGGAAACAGACATTTTGTATACTGTGCAAGAAGCATGTTATTTACTTTATATTGAATGGCCAGCACCTTTAATGCATAGCTAATTTCCAGTTTGTTCTCTTTCATTTTAAAATGTTTGAAATGATAGACAGATTTGTATTGACATCAATATAATACTCGGGGAGTGTTTGACTCTCATACATTAGTACCAACAATTGGTCTTCATTCAGAAATTAAAAAAAACACACAAATGCGCTTGTAAGCCATTTTTAAAAATCTTACTTAAGTCTGTTCAGAGCCTTGTTGAAATATCTTACAGACAAAAAGAAAAACATTACTTCTTTTCTCAAATGTTATAAATGAAAGCTATTATACAGCTTAGAATAATAATAGACATTTGTAGACATTTTTCAATCTGATAAATTGTCGGATTTTTTAAATACATGTAGATAAATAAATGAACAAACAAACTGTATTTGTGAAACACTGATGTCCGTGTATTTCAGATCATAGCGAAGGTTAAAGTTTAAAAGTTATGGCCAAGGTTAAAGCCAAAGTTCCAACCAATCAAAAGTTATGGGCAGGGTTAAAGTCTTTGCGGCCAAACAGACAAACAGACAGACGGACGGACGGACGGACAGAGCAAAAACTTTGGCCCCCGAATCTTCGATTACGGGGGCATAGAAAGAAATCGTGAAACTTTAACTTTTTAAAGGACAGTCATCATGCGGTATTTGTTTGATAGTATATCAACAGGCACGAAGAGTTAATTAAATCAAAGGTCTTCTTGCTTCTCATTGAAATATTAACACAAAATCAAATAAATATATCAAAGAATATAATAAATAATGAATAAATTCTAACCTAAAAGAAAGAAATTAAGAAAAAACAACTGTTTTACATCTCCGGGTCCGACAACAGGAACTGGATTTTGCCTTAAGGACCATTCAGTTGATCTCAAGCTTGTTAAAGGCACATTTCTTGTATTTTCCTCTGCTGGGTAGTAACTAAAAGTGAAGATACATGTTTACAATATTTTGGTAACTTTGTATCTGATTCATAGCAATTTGACATATCTTTTTAATTCCCTTGCATCACCTTTGCATAAATATGTATACTGTAAATCACTTATTTTCGTGTGGCCAAATTTTCGTGGTTTATAGAAAAATGACTGATTCGAGATAATTTGATTTCGTGGTTAATGGAGAAACATTGAAACATTATAAAGCAGTATGTAATTTTTCACATTTCGTGGGGGGTATGAATTTGTGGATCTCTTTATACCTCAAAAAAAAAAAAAAAAAAAAAAAAAAAAAAAAAAAAACATGAAAATTTGTGATTTCACAGTAATGAGCAATTCTATAAATGTCAAAAAGTAATGTCTTACCCGTAAACTTGATTAACTACTAGGCACGGTGCATTCTGCGTGCACTCCCTTTGTCGGGGGACTGGTGTAAGATATTCATCCACTCCACGATAATTTAAGACACCATAGGTACGTTTCCGGTTGACAATCTCCTCCTAAGGTGGGTTCAATTAAGGAATGTTTTGTGCGAGTTATTGGTATGTAAATCACACAGACTTGTCACGTAGGCATATTTCAGGAAGCGCGCTAGCGCTTCATGAAAAATATGCCTACGTGCAAGTCTGTGTGATTTACACACCAATAATTCACACTAAACTTAACAACATTCCTTATATTTACATTTTACATGTTTAAATGCACCAAAAACATACTCCATGTTTGAATTTCTCGCTGTCCTATATTGACATATTTTCATTAACGTCTCTGTTGCCTCATTGTGACGTCACTTTAGCGCGAGTTTCTCCATGTATATTTCTACGCGTGAGTATACACAAAAATTACTTTCAAATCATTTTCAAAGTTTTCTTAGTAGAAAAGCACAGCAAATGTAAATATATAAAGATAAACGAATAGAAGTTTTTTAACATAAGGAGTCAAGTAATTTTATCTTAAAAGAGAACATGAATTCAAATGATAGTTCTAGTTTTGTTTTCCTTTTTTAGTAGTATCGAACGAGACAATTAAACATAGAAGTAAAATAAAGCATGAAATCCTATTGAGATAATGTAGAAAAATAATCATTAAACTTCAAAATAATTGTATGTGTATACTTTAAAATTGAACATACCCCTGTAACTGTTCTTGTCGGAGTTGTAAAAAAATTGATATAATAGTTATCAAGGGGTCTGCCTGTGAATATAATGAAATCGCAGCTCTCCCCTATTGATAAGGTGACAATATCCGTTTTGAATGGCTCTACGTCATTTCCGTCAACAGCAATGATGACAAGCATATGCTATAAATATAAGGAAAACTAGGTTTAAACCCTTGACTTTACAATGTCGTTGAGTTCTACATGCATGTCTAAACATGTTACGTAGTACAAGCTTCTTCCCGTCGTTCTAAGGATCAATTTTACGATGCTAGTTTAATGCCATGCAATAAAATTGAAAATATTACATTGTTATCATAGAATAAGAATTAGTATTATACTTTCATGTAAATATGTTGAATCTGGTTCGTCGAGAAACATTTGTTTAAAAACACTATTACCCTCTGAATGATGAAATTAGGTCCTCCAGCGTAGCAACTGTTAACATAGCTTGATCATCGGTGAAATTCCAAAAAAAAAAAATTGACTATGCAGAATTTATGCACGCACGAATCATTGTTATATGTATTTTTTCAGTATAATAAAATTTGCATGTAGTTGAGGTTAACATTAAAAATTTTCACCACTCGAAAACTCGCAACTAAATGCAATATTTATATTATGTGAAACGAACCTATTTTAGTGATATTACATGTAGCACAGGTCAACGCTTCTTTCTATTTAATTCATTTATTTTGCTTATTTTCATAATAATTTGAAAAAAAAAATTCATATAATTATGATTATGAAATTTTAATGAGTATTCAATTATGATTAAGGTATTTCCACCCACCTGTGATGTCATAGGTTTTTGTAAAATCTATTAATTTAAATTCATATCTAATAGAAATACGTCATACATGTACGTAAGAATGCTTTCAAATAGGTGTAATGAAAAACATTGTTAAGTAAAAGAATTCAAAAGTTAAATATTTTCCTATTTTATCAATTATTTAATCTTTAACAAAGATGAGCTAAGGACAATAACTCAATATAACTCAATAAAACATAAATTTTTATTGCAACCCGTACGACCAGACTGCTCTATATATATAAGTTTAAGTTTTTATGTATGGGATTGAGGTGGGAAAGGTTATTCAGAATTAAAGGTTAACTATACATTAAAAAGATTATAGATCAGAATGTTCTTTCCCTTTATAAATTACGAGATACACAATATATTTACTTCCATGAAGTACATCTTTAAATATATATATATATATATATATATATATATATATATATTTGTCAGATGTAATGTACAAAGTTGCTTATCATTTACTATCGACAGAACGACAGGTCCCCTTTTAAGAACATTGAATTTTACTTATCGCATAAAAACGTACGTTACACAGTTTGTGTTTTATATTCTTAAGGTCAAATATGTTTTTGATGATAGGTTATACATGAGTCGGATTCAAATTTATATTTAATGCTGCCAACAGTTACTTGAGGAAATGATAAAGTATAAAACGGTATCGATTTTGTTCGATTTTCATCCGATTAGATGTTTTTCGTAAATCTTCTCGACTATAATCTTGATCAGACGTATGCCTTTATCACATAAATCAAAACAATTTGATGATCAAGATTTTACTTCATTTATTTCCCGGGAGACAATTGATGGCAACATCAATGTTTTCTTGTTTATTCAAAGATATCGATTCTTCCAAAGCTGGAGGTGAAGCATTAAATTTCAACCTATCACATGTCTTGCAGGAAGTGTTCTTCATTCTACCAAATATGTTCACCGTTTCTTCCAATTTATTAATCAAATTACATGTACCTAATTTTAAATAAGAGGCCCATGGACCATTATGCTAACTGAGTCACTTTTATCCGACCATAATGGTCGGGCCCTACCCAACAATGTCATGATTTGAACAAATCTGAATCTACATTACTTGAGGATCATTCTAGATTAAGTTGATTAATTATTACTTTGCTGTTCCTAAAAAAAGACTTTTAAGGACTATTCCTATATATTCATATTTTCTTATGTAAAAGTTTGGTCTCCTATTTTGACCCGAGCCTACACCCTGGACCTTGATTTGAACAAACTTGATTCTATACTATTGTTATGAAGCTTTCACATAAGTTTCATATTTTCAGAGGTTCTTGAGTTGAAGATTTTTAAAAGATGCCATGAAATTTTCATTATGTTTAATTATGTCCAATTGAAAGAGGGCATGGTCCTTTACTTGAAGAAACTTGAATCTACTTTATCTAATGATGCTCTGTGCAAAGTTTGGTTGAAAGTGACTGAATAGTTCTAGGGAGGCTGAAATTGCGATAAGTTTACGACGATAACGAAAATAATGTACTGTAACAGGTATTGATCTGGAAAGTTCGTTGAGCCTTCGGCTTAGGTGAGCTAATAATGTAGAATAATTTTTATTTAGAAACTTTTCTGGAACATTTGTAAACATAAATTTTGTAGACAATAGCACTATTTTAATTAGTAATGAAAATGGGTGTACACCTTTAAATGTCAATACAGCATATTCAATGTAAGGTTTTAAATAAGGAGAAGCAAATTATTTCACGAGTGAGATAGGATTTTTTTTTTAAGATTGAAGAATAGGAAGCCTGAGTCTATTTCTAGATATAAAAGAGACAAAACCAACGAAAAAGATATAAGTACATGTACGTGAACTTCCTAAGAAATTTGAATATCACTGTTAGTTTATCCCATTGGAGTTAACGTAAGTTTCCTTTATTAACGTTTCAAATCATACATCACGGATACAAAAAACAATATTTTATTTTTATGAAAAAAGTTTATATATATATATATATATATATATATATATATATATATATATATATATATATATATATATATATATATATATATATATATGATTTTATATCCTTAATTGCACATAAGGTTGTATTATATAAAGAAACTTACAACAATTCCTAAGTCAATTATATGCTAATACGTTATATAGATTATATATAGATTAATTGATTGATTTTATGTTATTTAATGTTGTTTCCATTCAAGAATTTTCACTCATGTAGAGACGTCACTATATACATGTACCGATGAAAGACTTCAAATTTAGACCTTTACTCGGCACTGATGGCCATTGAGCAGTGAGGGATCTTTATCTTGCAAAAGCCTCGGTTTTAAAGATATTATCTGAAAATCCCTCAACTTTCACTTCAGCCCGCAACTTTCACTTCTAAATGCTTGGTGAATGAACAGATGCTACCCATTATTCATTGACTTTGGTCTGTCACGGCCATGAGCGCTTTACCTATTGAGTTTGATGTATACTACCAAATAATATATAGATTTAAGACATAGAAATACTTAATAACCCTTACCTACAAATATTGGCCATTTCGGAAGAAATGTGTAGAAAATAAGGTTAATTATTCAATTCATGACGTCATAATAAATTATTTCGTCACTTCAATAAATATGCTGTCACCATAGGACCAAATGATTTAAAAAGGGTATCAACTAAATTTGAACAGTTTTGTTTTTCCCTGAATTTCCAAGGCCAAATAAATCCCTAAGCACACCTTGTTCTTTGAATATGTTAAACTGGGTACACATATTGTGGTAACCCTTTTGAGTAAGGTGATATCAAATGAAAAAATTGATTGGATACTAATTATGATTTGCACAAACACTTACCTCGTCTATTGAAATTTCAAATGCCGCTTCAAAGCCAGCATTAATCACTCTAAATCTGTAATATCTGTTTTGTGTGACAGTAAACGTCTCCAGTGGGAGGTAAGGCTTCTCCGCCACGTTTGGATCATTAAGGATGTAACGCCTACCTGTTAAAGTAAATACCAAAATAGAAACATGTTAATACCTATAATTTGTCACATTTCTCCAATTTCTTGGACTCGTCTTTTGAAAATTGATAAATTTTATACAACACTTTCCTTTTGAACCCTTTGCAAACTAGGTTTTTTGTAAACTATTAAAGGGACATTTTTTTTAAGGTTTGAACTTTTATACCTGCAGAACATCTAAAACGACATATACCGGGTTTTTTTTATTATTTTTCCTGTTGTTTCCCTGTTCACAGAGCATTCCGCTATATAGTATCATACAGATATGAACTAGTGAATACAATGTGTACACACACTTCGTGAAATAAATTTTCTCGCAGGGGTAATAAGGAAGCATACAAAATATTCTACCTTGACTTAATCAGTGCTACATTATGACGTCATAGTAGGCGAGATGACGTCAATTTTAGAATACAAGTTTTCGTAATATTCGTATTTAGAGATGTAATTTAACTCTAGAAAATGAATAGAAACGTGTAAACATTAACAAAAATAAAATGTTTTTATTTTGTTATGCTGTATCTGTCATTTTGATTAAAATCTACCACCGATGACGCCATATGTGTACTTCAAGTAACTTGGGAATTGATCATGTCCTGTAAAGAGAATTTGGCTAAGACGGCATGTACAAAGATACGTAAAATGGAGTTTAAAAGCAAATATCCTGAATATTTTATGAAATTCATATGTAGTTCAGTTACTAAAACAGGTATGCTAATTTATTTCATCGATTGTATTCTCTTTGAAGACAGTCAGCTATATACGTATCCCGGTCGGCCTTTCCTCTGTCATTTGTGACAAAAATAATGCAGCAGAACAACAATAAGCTGTATATTTCAAAACATAAGATTTTTACAGATGGAAAGTTTGCCTCCTAAAATACTTGGAAAGTGCTGCTAGAATCCCGAGTTAAGCATGGTTTTACGAAAAATCTCGGTTTATATGTATAAAATTCAAAACATCGGGTAAGGTTTCGTGCGAATGTGTGGAATTATTATTTTACTGACGGGACAGTCGGATTCTAGCAGCACTTTTTAGGCAAAATAGATGTTTTCCAACTATATTATTTACTCAAAGAAAATATGACATTTCGGGGTATTGTTGTTCTGTTAGCTTTTTTACTAAGGAAAATTTCGCTATGAATAGAAGTCACGTGATGCCGTGGTGGTGGTACACGTCTTTGCGTTAGACACTCTTTTATCTTTATGCAATAGATAATAATAGTTTACATTTATCAGCGGTTTTGGTAAATTATCAAACTTAATTTTCTTTAAAAAGTCTAAATTTCCAGAGAATTGACTTATATGCTTCCTTAACATACCCGCGCTGTTCCCAGGGCTCTCTCTTTCGCCTGTTTATATATATATATATATATATATATATATATATATATATATATATATATATATATATATATATATATATATATATATATATGTATATATATATAGCTGTCAAAGTGTACCAGCCGTTGGTACTTCTCTAAACTATCAAGATATGACGTCATAATACAATTATGACGTCAAAACTTGAGCAGTCATGACGGGGAAAGTGTCATAACTTTTACATTCCTTCCCATAACAGATAGATTTTATTTCGACGTTGATGTTTAAATCAGGTGTCTGAATTGTTGGTTAAAGTTTCTATGTGCTGTTATGATGGTGATTATTTGCAATGAAATATCGTTATTCCTGTCGCTTTCTGATAATGTACGTATTCAAATAATAACAAAAAATGAATATGAAACGCTCCCCCTTACACGTCCGTAGACAGAGTTAGAATTTACAAAGCATGCATATATTAGACTGGCACAAGTGATTAATAAAGATAAATTGAAGATGTTTTTTGTGAATCTACTAGAGAAGTGTGTCATCTAACTGAATTTTGCGGGGAGATCGTATGTAATTTATCCTATTTTGATTAAATTGCGATGAAGAATAGAAAATGCCCCCTTGTATGTGGGTAAGTTAAATTTCTCATGAAATATTTTCTTAAGAAGTAAAACTTGGACTAGCCCCCAGCACTTTATATATACCCAAGAATACGTTTATTTGACTTATGTAGAATATTGTTCCCAATAATTTTGTTTTTCACTTGTGCCGATGGGATTTTTGTGCAACAATTAAGAAAATTTATAAGTGTCCGTCACGTGACCAAAACAGTCATGTGACATCACAGATTTGCTTTTTCACAATACCTTATAAAACTCTCTTCATAAATTAACTTCATCTGTATACATAGGATACAAATTGAAATCAAAATCTAGCTCAAAATATATAATGGCGTATTTCTAATGCATATTAAGCCTTCGGACAGCCTTAACGTAGCCGCGATATATATATATATATATATATATATATATATATATATATATATATATATATATATATATATATATATATATATATATATATATATATATATATATATAGTTACCCTAGAAATTTAAAAGAATCTATTATGAAATGTAGATCCCACTTTTCTTTGCAGATGGAAAGAACACTAATGAAACAAAAAAAAACAATACTCAATTCTGGATATTTTTAAGCAGTGATCTTGTAGGGTTCTCCATCATTTGAAATTTCACTGCTGCCCAGACGTAGGCAAAGTGTTAATATTCGCTGTCTTTTCTCGACCGAATTTGCAATGATGCCACTAATTAATAAATTGAAAAACATACATAACTTATCCAAACGAGTGAAATATTCTCGAGAGGGACGTTAAATAACAACCAATCAAACAAATATAACTTATCTGAATCACTGGTTTGATATACAAAATGATTTGTAACCAGGAAGTGTAAAAACAAAAGGCTTATCTCGTGTCATTCATGCGTTAAGTCCTGTGAGGGTCTAAAAGATAACTTAGTACTAAGTATACGAACCAAACAAAGGACCTTAATCATTTTAATTCGAGTAAAGCAACAGTTTAGTATTAGAAAAATCTATAAAAGGTACCTTTTTTCATTAGTTTTAGTCTGAAATTTATTTTGGATTGACGAGGATCTTACTGTGGAGCTAATCTACTATTTGGCGCTTTTTTTTTAGATTTGGCGCTAAAGAATTTAACTGTGGCGAGCCCGCCATGTACATCTACATGTAAAACAGCCAATGGAGAGCCCTAGGTTGTGTTAACGTTGCAACGACTAGACTGAACCTATGATCTTTAGTCTCTGTAATGTAATAATTAATATGAGTTGTGTATATTGACCATTACGATCACAGAAATTTGCTCTTGAATGGAAATGAACAAATATAATCGATTTTTACATTAGCATTCTGATGTACATATAACTTATACCACTGTACACAACCTTTCGATTCCACACCCCATTTGTGATGCAAAATGAACACACTGAACCATTATATAACTTCGTGTTGTCTTAAATATTTTATATTTATACATACCACGTCCATTGACGAGGCCAGTACGAAGTTGGAATAATTTACCCGAACCATCAGGGTGTAGAATTAATGGAAGACAGGTCCCGTCATATTCATCTAAGCTAATTGAAAAAAAAAAGTTTTAGGAAATATATATTTTAAGCCAATTTCTACAGTAGATGTATATATTTGATATCGGACATCATACTGTGGTTTCATTGACTTTCCGGAAAGGGGGGAGGGTGGATTTCGTAAAAAAAATAATCTAGTTGATGTTAAAATTCAGGGATATCTGCTTCGTCATTAACAATTATTAGTAAATTCTATAGTTACTAAAATTTCAAAGATCATTGAGGATCAAATTCCATGGTCAGGATTGATTAAACCACAGAAACATAATGAAAAATAATGAAATGGAAAAGATCGAGATAAAGAACAGTGATCGATCTCAAACAAATAACAAACAATACAAATCCGTGAACAGGGAATAAAACACGGACCCCCTACTACTGTATCATAATTGTAAGGGAGGTGCCTTACACTGCGAATCCTCCTCTGTCAGCCTGTATCTTTTCTTTGGCAGTCGTTATCATCCAATCCATAAGAACAACAGAGAATTCTGCATCAACATCAGGAACTGGTTCACGTGGGATTCGCTGTAAAGTATACGTGTATGTTTCCACTGGTGAATCTTTTAAATGTACTCAAAATATGAAGGTTTTAAATGAACTATGACATTGTACATTCCTTAGTGAGCAAAAATTCCTTTTTAATATTTATCCTTTTTTTTTTTTTTTTTTTTTTTTTTTTTTTTTTTTTTTGATTAATATTAAGAAATTCAAAGATAACCCTGTCGTAGCATGATATGTAAATCAAAAATAAATCAAGACTACTCCTAAAAATATACTTGTATGGGACTATGTTTCCTTATACTTATAAAATTTGTTTGAAAATAAAGTAAGAATGAACTTCATAAATTATAAATCATAATTTTTATTCTTTCAATCTATTTATATATCGAGGAATTTGTAAATCTTACTATAGGTGGTCTAATTCTGGGCAACACAATGAAAGCACCTGCTAGTCCATCAGATCTCATACTGCCTGTGTGTGAATGATACCAGTGTGTTCCCACAGGCGAGGCAAGAAATCTGTAATGACATTTAATAAATTTCACATTTTAATCTTTGTTCTCCGTTAACTTTCATTAGTACTTTACTCAAACAATTATCTATATTCTATCATTTAAGATATTTGACATTGTGGAAACCCATTATTCATTGTTTTCATTGTCACAGGACGAAAGACCATCTTTAAGCAATCGCTTAATGGTGGCTTAATGGTAGCTTAATGGTGGCTTATAGAAGTTAATTCCTTTAAGCCACCATTAAGCCACCATTAAGATGCAGCTTCTAGGTGCTTAATGTCCAAACTTCATTAAGCTACCATTAAGCCACCTTTAAGCTGCAGCTTAATGGTGGCTTAATGTCCAAACTTAATTAAAGCACCTTAACGCATCCAGTATCAAGCCTTTAAACTAACTTGTTAAGTTTAAAGTTGTTTCAAAATCTTTTACGCAAATACTTATTCAATTCATAATTTTTCTCACTATTTCTAACATTCTTGTCAATGGGTACATGTATAAACCCGGGAACTGCCTTAAATGCCTTAAAATTTTCCCTACCTAAAATCAGTTTGTTTGAATGCTTGTTTTAAAATTATTTTTATCCATAAATACATCATATATATATATATATATATATATATATATATATATATATATATATATATATATATATATATATATATATATTTTTTTTTAAAATAACGAATTTTTCTTTCGTGTTTGGAAAGCCACGTTCCGCTGCCGAATTCATTAGAAATATTGTAATTAGAGTCATTTTCTTCCGGAATATTTCCAAGTCTCTTAATTTTTCTTTGGGTAGAGAAATGTTTAAATTATAAAAAGATATATATATATAGGTACAGATTATATTGCCAATCATTGAATCACTTCATGAATAATTTGACTTAATTCGTGATTAAGTGCCATTCAGAATCAGAAATTTTTATTTAAAGTCGGATTTTCAAACAAATAACATAAGCTCTGTAGAGCTTTTGACCGACATGATTATTTTAGCCATTATCTTTTTCTTCTTTTAAAATACTGCAGAAGTAAGAATTTATTTAAAATAATGCAGAAGTAAGAATTTATTTAAAATAATACAGAAGTAAGAATTTATTTAAAATAATGCAGAAGTAAGAATTGATTAAAATATAGTCGGTCTTCAATGATTGTTATTTCAAAATCAATTTTCAGAAGAACAGCCGATCAGATTAAACAGGGCATCCGACCAGATTTATACACATTGGAAAGCGGGGTAAAATAAACAGTGTACAGTATATCGACTGGTTAGACAATAGACCTTAATTAGGTGTCCCCACCAGCTAACAGGAAACTATACACGGGAACGTACAGTGACAGATTTTGATGATCGATTATTTTTACAAAGCTTAAAATTTACGCAAGCATATAACAAATTAGAAATTATGATTGTAGACAAAAAGACAATTATTTTGATACCCATAATGATATAAAAAGAATAAAAACTGAAGATGATATGCTTAAAAAATATTTTATAGCTTAAAATAAAATGTTACGCATAAAATGTCAATTAAATCGCAAAAAAATCGTGAATATCCGCAGCATATTTATAAGAACTATAATCTGTTTTTTTTTTTTTTCATCGTTCTCTTTCGATGATATATTCCTTTTTAATAACAAAATTTTGTTATATCTGTTGAATTTCAATCTTTTCATGCTTATAAATCTGCGAATAACAGAATGAGGAACTCAGTAACTTAAAATCAAGAAGTTGTTTCACACTATCTCACCGAACTATCACACCGAACTAATATAAAACTTAATAAAAAATTCTTTTTTAAAATATATATAAATATAATTATTCGTATTATTGATTAATAAAGATAAACATTAGAAAAAAAATAGATGTACAAGTACCAGTCTAAAACAAGTTTTGTTAAAAATAAAGGTGTCATATTTCACACTAATTTCAACAGCCTCGATAGCTCAGTAATTAAAGCGTTCTGCTTCCAATCTTAAGGTCGTGGGATCGAATCCTGTTGAGAATCTGGGGTTTTTTTTCATTTATTTTTTTTTTTTATTTTCTTTCTTTTACATTATTTTTGCCGAATTAACAAATGTATAAACTCGACATTTATAATTTTTGTGAAGAAATCATTATAAAAATAATGTTTAACCCATAAAAGCAGTTTTATCAACTGCGTAATGGTGACTTAATGGTGGCTTAAAGGTGGTTTAATGGTAGCTTAATGGAGATTGGACATTAAGCACCTATAAGTCTGGCTTAATGGTGGCTTAATGGTGACCTAAAGATTGTCTAGAAGCTACCATTAAGCACCTATAAGCCACCATTAAGCTACCTTTAAGCACCCATTAAGGACTTTGAGTTGGCTTAATGGTAACTTAATGGTGGTGTATTTATTACTTAAAGGTAGCTTAAAGGTGCTTAATGGTGACTTAAAGACAACCATTAAACCATCATTAAGGACCTATAAGCCACCATTAAGCCAAACTTAAAGGAAGTGTTTCATCTTGTGTGTTTTCCTTTAATAACAATTGCATTTTCTAAGTCAATTCAATGCGCAAGACGTGATGTCATCATGATAAAACATGACAACACAATGATAAGTTGTTTGAGAAGATTTTAAAATTCAGATACACATACATTATGTTTATTATAACTAAATATCTATAAAAATTCTCCCCAATTGGGTTTTTGAATGTCTGACTGCGTGGTAAGGGAATATCCAAATACGAAGCTTTTAATGCTGCGTGATAACCTGAGTGAATTGAATATCTTATGCTTGTAAGTTTTAGTATCTTTTATGTACTTTCTTGTCACGGTTTCCTAGTGGTAGGGCGTTAACTTCATGATCAGGAAGCCCCAGCTCGATTGACGCGCCGCGTCAAACCTAAGACGTACATGTTAACATAGGTAGTGACTGTTCCTTCACCAAGGGCCCGGCACCAGAAGTGAAAGTCACAGGTCTTTCGGATGAGACCTTAAAAACTGAGGTCCTGTGTCACGGTGAGTGTTGGCACGATAAAGAACTCTCACTGCTCAATAGCCCTAAGTGCCGAGTAAAGGTCTAAATTTGAAGCCCTTTACCGGCATACGGTGATGTCTTTATATGAGTGAAAAATTCTCATAAAATCAATCAATCTATGTTGCGCAATCTGTGTCAACTTGTGTTAAAAAAAAACTATGATAATGGTATATTATAAACAATTGCAGAGGAAGAGAATAAGGGCACCTGTATTCGAAAGTTTGTTTTGGTAAAATGGGACATTGAGTTATCATGTCAACCCCATCCATGAAAGGAGTTCCTCTTTGTATAAGCCCATGCCAGTGAATAGTCACTCCCTCAACTTCCAAAAGGTTGTGCACAAGAACTGAAACCTGTAATATTCACATTGAGTTGAAATAATGATTAGCTGTAGATAATTAGTGTAGAGTCAATTTTTAATGAATGTACTGCAGAGGTTACAACGTAAAACTTGTATTACATACATGTAAGAGTTGTGAAGTAATAAAACAGTATTACCTCCTTGTTAAGTGATCACGATAGTCAAGGCTTTCTTGAAATCAATATTTGATCACATTTCTTAAAATGTATATAAATTACATATGGGTATATGTATCTTGTTAGCAGTATGTTATATTATCAAACAATTCCTTAGCAAAAACAAAACGACTAAACCAATCTCTCAAATGAAAAATAAGCAACTAAGTCCTTACAAGTGTAAAAGGTGAAATACTGAAGGGCAAAAACCCAATCCCCTGGAAACACCAGAGGTGGGATCAGGTGCCTGGGAGGAGAAAGCATCCCCTGTCGACAAGCCACATCCTCCATGAGCCCTTTGTATTGATCGGATAAACGAAGTATAAAACAATGGCATTACAACTGGTGTGAAACGTCAGTCAAAATACGACCCAACTTTAGCTTGCAATTGCATGCAAGGACGAATACTTATGAATCCCAGTTTGTACTATTTACTGTTTCTATAAATTAAAGTGAAATCCTTAAAAATTGAAGCGAACAGCTTAAGAGTTTTAAATTATTGTGTGGAACTTGATTTAACTTTCTCTGTAAATATACATATATTTTTAACACTTACAATTTGATCCTCATATACAACGATATCCGGTCCAGGAATTTGTCCGTTGAAAGCTAGTGCCAGTTTGTAACTTCCATCCCCAGGACTAACGTTTTCTTTGAACTCTGCGGAAAAGAAAATATTCATTTGGTTATTTATCATATATGTTTCCCCCTTTCTTAAGGCAGTCCGATCCTTAAGTTCTGAAAATTAGCAGTGAAGTAATTGTAAATGCTCACAAATCACAAAGTAATGTGTATGGTATTTCTTCAAAGTTTATCATTACACTTAATCATATTATATAGGGAGAATTATCGAATCTCATATACATTTTTTTTTATATTTATACTGTATTAAAGTTCTTTCATTTGCAAATTGTTATATAATACACAGTATAAAAAGCTTGTGATGTCATTGCAATACATCACAGATTGCTTCTAATTTCAAATCATGCTAATAAGCATTGGTATCTAAGGTTAGAATAAAGGAGACTCAATTTCACTAAAATGTATTTATTTTTTTGTATTTTTATGGGGTACAAATGTCAACTTTCTAAGACTTCAAAGAACCTTGAATCATATTGAGATGTATGAAATTAAAAGTGTTTCACGAAAAGATTTTAATTTCAAGTTTCATTTTGAGACTTTTTTAAGTAAATAATGGATCTTAGGGGTAATCGTTGATGAGCTGAAACCTTATTACCCTAACAACAATTTACTATAGTTATGTAAAGTAAATAAAAGTAAATACTTCACATTATTGGATTAAAAGGCAATACCGGTTCTCTCTCTCTCTCTCTCTCTCTCTCTCTCTCTCTCTCTCTCTCAATACACTTTAATGATGTAAATTTTAGAAATATTATATGATATACAGGTAGTATTTCTATTTGATTAAGAAAATTGCATATAGGACTTGGAGAAAATAAAATGCAGCAAATGGAAATCAAAGTAAAATATTTTGATTTACTATAGCTAATTTTTTTAATAGTAAAAACCTTCATATTAAAGTAGACTATAGTTAATTAAAGTAGTTTAAGACAGTATTTTTGTTAAAGTATGTATCACATTTTTGTTTGTTTGCTTGAGTTAATCTGAAATACATTCAGAAAGATATTTAACGATCTTATATTGAATTTCTGGGTTTTAGTGGAAATTTTAGTTTCAAATGACTGTAAATCAGAAACAAAATGGCCTTCATACGTTCAAACGACAAAACTGCAAAAGAAAGAAGTCATAAATCAGAAATTGTTTACCGCAATTTAACCCCCAAAAAATTAATAGATAAAATTTTAATTTGATGCAAAACCTAAGTATGGAAATTATGTAAAACATTAAATATAAAACCCTTAAATCATTCATTGAATCAAAGACGGAAACATTATATTATACACTATAAATTACAAACATTGACACGAGCCTTACAGCAAGATTTTTGACACGGAAGTCGTAGTATCTTTCCTTTGTACAGTAATTTAAACGTGTTACAAATAATTAATAAGAGCTTTTCTCCCAAGAGGAATGCCCTATCTTTCCTCTAAATTCTAAATATTCTAAGTGCTTATAGGGTGTCATTTTTCATTAAGTATATGATTTTTTAAAGGCAGACATGCTGTTTCAAAACTGGAAAAAAATTATCCTTAGTTTTTTTAGCTGACATCTAATTACCAATGAAAAGGGAACAATGTCTTTACGCATTTTTTATTAAATGAAAGAAAATTAATTTAGTATTGAAATTCATCAAAATATGTAAACGGTGTTATGATAGCAAGAATACGGTTAAATATTCAATATTTTGATTTCATATAAATTAAAGGCAACATATTGCCCTGTAATTTTGTTTTCTTGCAAGGAATAGGTTAAGTAATACTTCAATAGAAACGAAACAGATTTTCATTCAACACTTTATGTTTGATATGTGGGGAAAACACTGTGAATTTTTTTTTTTCAATTTTCAATTTCAATGATTTGCTTTTTGTACAGTTCTGTACCATTAAATAAACGTAAGACTATCTGATAATCAATGATTATCACAAAGAACTAAGTACAATTGACCTAATATTTAAATGCTCATATAAATATCCCCTTCAGACTATTCCATTGTCTAATCACAGTTCTTTGTTTTCACAAATCTCGTATGGGGTATCTGAGTATTATACGTTTATTGACTTGGTTCGAGGGCAAAATACTTTTAATCGGACCAGAGAACCAAACTCTTTGCCTGAGGCCGTTAGGCCAAGGGCAAACATTTTGTTTCGAGGAGCCGGAAAAAAGTAATTTGCCCGAGAACACAGACAATAAATGTTTTTTATACCTTTTACTTTTTTGACATATCTTATGCTTGCTTTCATGATGTGAATTTCGTTTATCCGCACTGCGGTTTAAACTCAGTCAATTCCATGAAGTTCTGCCAAACTCCAGCGAACGTAAATAAGATATAGCTGATCCCGCCCTTAGTATGACGTAAGCGGTCCAATATCTCACCGCGGTCTAACATCGATTTTCTTTTACCTCTCAGTAAAACATTAGAAATGTTATACTTTCGTTTAGTATGTATTTTTATCAGAAACAAAGTAATGGTATAACAAAAAGGTATTATTATTGCTTTCTCATGTTTCTTAATCATAATCAAATATTTGGGAGTTAATAATCACCCAAGCCCTGCATATGTTATTGTTATTTTGACAGACTTTGACAGGTGATATCTTAAATTAAAGCGCTGTTATGCAAGAATAACCTACCTAATTCTTAGTTCTGACGTAAACTGACGTGTAATGACGAATAATGACCCCAGTAGAATAGTGACCGGGTGTCATTTTTCGACGTCGAAAAATGACCTTTTTGCATGTAGAAAAAGAGGCATCACCCTTAAAATTTGCATACCCTACGTGAAGAAAAATGACAACCGTAGAATAATGACCCCTGGTAAATTTTATTTGGGATATATTTTTTGGATAAAAAAAAAATCAAGAATTAATAAATCAAGAGGGCCTTGGATCAAAATGCTCACCTGAGGTAAATTGAAGATATAGCGATGATCTGTTTTTTCTCATTGAAATTTTTCAAATGTCTTTTATGATGAATTGACAATGTACACTGTGAGGAAATGCTTTCATTCTGATTTGACTTATGTATCGTTGTTTTTAAAAAAAAATCTTTTTATTTTCGCTTATTCTATCCAGAGAGAGAGAGAGAGAGAGAGAGAGAGAGAGAGAGAGAGAGAGAGAATTGTTTACCATGTCTATCAACATTAATTGAGTTGCGTCCAAATGCCTTTTTTTTAAGCCAATGATTTAAACAGTGTACATACATACGTGATATCACCTACTCAGCATTTGAACTGGTGTTATTCCCTATTTGAATAGGTGATATCACCTAGTCAAATTAAGTATGAAATAACAACCGCTCCCAATACTATAATGCAAACACTAATAATTATTGTTCTCTACAACTGTTACCAGTTTTGTGAGATTAAAATTTTGTCATAGTTATTGTCATTGTATATATTGTCTATGATCCTCTTTCTGTTAATTTTGAAGTAATATTTAAAACAATTAAATCTGCAACTGTTAGCATTGATGAAACAGTCTAATTCTAATTGGGATAAGAAATCAATCTTTCATGGAGAAAGGGGCAGGTCCATTATACTGGTCAAAACTACTTTTTTCTTAAAATAGCTCTTGCATACATTACTATTACTTTTATTTTACCTTCTAGAACGCAGATGATCAATAACTGGTGAATTATCATGGACAATCACAATATTAAGAAAATTAATGAATAAAAATTCGACAGATGATTCAAGTCGTGTTCTGCACCTATTGTAAGGGTTCAACCATTCAATGCTTTTCAGGGTTATTGTATATCCTTGAAAGTGTACTGTGGACAGTTGAATAGCACATATAGTTCATACACAAGAAATCTGTACTGTGATCATTTATTGATAAAAATATACACGAAAAGTATTTTTTAAAAGTATATAATTTTATACAAATAAAGCAAAGTTACCAGGCTTAAGTTGAATATTTTTACGGGAAATTTACTTTCATACAACGAGTTCTGCATTTAGTATGGAAGAAGTTTCAAAAAATTTTTTTAAAAAGCAAAACAAATCATTAAGCAAACTATAATTAGAAGACGTGTATTGCCTGTCACTTGAATTTCACGTCAAATTATTTTCACAGGAAAAGTACTTCAGGGCAAATAATCACCAATTTCCTTTTGAGAAATACCGAAAGTATCTGTCTGAGTATTTTATTTAGAAATCTTTCAGAGAAAAAAAAAATGAAGGATTTCTTGCAATACATCTATACAAGTCAAGAGACTTTACAGCAAAATAAAAAAGAACTTGTAAATAAATAAGATATACTTTTTGTCCACAGTTATACCTACATTTTAAAGAAATTTAAAAACAATGTATGTATACCTTCTCTGGTTAGTGGAATGAAGGTATCCCGACAGGCAGCGTTTGTCACTCGTCTCTGAAGCGATCCATCTCTAATTACTACAGGATTATACTGCGGATCTTGAATATTCGTGTAATTGTACCACATCATGGTGAACTTGTAATCAACGTTAATTTCAAAGTAGCAGACGTTATTCGCACAGTTGCGGTGTGGTCTAACGACTACACAATTACATTCAAACGCGAGGAAGACCAAGAATAAAATTTGTAGCATCATGTTGCTTAAATGATGCGTGTTGGTTTTTACAATGTGGAAATATCACTCTCGTTTCGATTTTGTGGTCCTTTTACAATTGTCAGTTTTGCAAATTTCTTACCTTTGTCGTTTGACCTTCCAGAAGTAACTAGGTAAAATATTCAAACCTTCATTTATAACGAAGAAAGTGCATCTTACGATAACGTAATAATGATAAATCTTTTCCTCTTACTTAAGTTCCATAATTTTGATCCAGCTAATTTTTACCCAAAGGATTCAACCTGACATTGGAAAAAGTTGTAAATAAATTAGGGAAAGATTTTTCCTGTTATTTGTTAAAAGATTGATTGATTGTATATTGTTTTACGTCCCGTTCAGAATTTTTCACCATATACTGGTGAAGGGCTTCAAATTTAGACCTTTACTCGGCACTCAGTGCCATTGAGCAGTGAGGGTTCTTTATCGTGCCAACGCCTACTGTTACAGGGGGCCTCGGTTTTTAAGGTCTCATCCGAAAGACCCGCAACTTTCACTTCCTAGTGATAAGCGCCTGGCGAAGGAACAGTTGCTATCTAATTTTTATCGACTTAGCTTTGTCGCGGCCGTGATTCGAACACACGTCCTTCCGATCACGGAGCATTTGTTAAAAGAGATACATTTTCAGTTAAAATTTCTAGAAAATAGAAAATGAACAAAAATTTAGAGTACATGTAATGTCAATTCACAACTTTCTGAGCATGATAATAATATATTTGGACGATTAAATCTAAATTACGGGATCCATGCTATATCTGGCAATTTTATGCTGTTGTATCCTGAGTCACCAACGAATATAATATACCAATATTTTTTTTATTTATACAAACAAATTAAAACACAAACATATGGTATAACTAAATGCGGCGAGTATTGGTCATGGCGTTACAAGACATAAATCAATACAGTGGGTTGTCAAAGCACTTTCAAACTGGGCAAACTCTAATAGCCAATTCAAACATCATACTCATCGACATATCAAGTATACATATTGTTATATAAAGCATACAAAGACCATCCCGGGTTAACCACGTATGGTTACTTATTTAACGTTTAATCACCCCGGTGTTTCAGCATTTCTTCAACATAGAAACGCAACACAATCAGTCACAGTTTCACAGTTATTCTAAATCAGTTAAGATTTTAAAACAGTTCTTTTGCAATCAACACAAACAATTAATTTCAAATCAGAAGTCAGTTGACTTGATATGCGCAAATTTCCAAATGAAGACATCACAATTTAACGGAATATACGATGCTAATTAAAGTGCAACGCCAGGACTTTGAATTTTCCTGAACTGATGTCCTAAAACAAGGTAGGCAAATCCATTGATGATCCTGCAAAGAAAAACAAACCCAGCAGCAAAACCAACTATCAAAATTATAACATGATGGAGGGAGGGAATTTAAAATTAGATGCATTTACCCAGTGTGTATATATATATATATATATATATATATATATATATATATATATATATATATATATATATATATATATATATATATATATATATATATATATATATATATATATATATATACATACATACATACATACATACATACATACATACATACATACAAAAAAACAGTTAATTATTTTTCATTCCATATAGGAACCCAACACAGTTAGTCATAGTTTCACAATTATTTCTTAATCACAGGGATGTTTTTACATTTCAGTTGCAGTCAGCACAAACAATAAATGTCAAATGATTAAAATATCAGTTGACTAAATTAGTATGCACCAACATGGCTGTAAACAAGTGAAATGTTTGCAGACATGTCGTAAAACCCTTGCAAAATATTCAAGCCCCTTAAAACGTGTTTAATAAAGTTTTGTTCTCCAGGTTTGATAGATGAACACTATCCACCTTCAAAAAATGATGAAGTATTTTACAACAAATCAGGGTGCTTCAAATATTATTTCCCTTTGCTTAAAATAGTCTTAGCTGTGGCGCATTCATTCCTTGCTTGTAAATTGTTTGAAAATCTCCAAGTTTTCGTGGAGGGATTTGTGATCAAATGATTTTTGACTGCGGAAAGTGATGGGCAATACAGGACAAATGATGTTTCATCAAACAAATGAGCTTGAAATGCTGGAACTTCCTATCACCTAAGTCATTTCCTCCTCTGCTGATAAAAAGATATTTCAGGAATCTTTGTAATGTTTGAAAGCATTAACTTTGGTTTTAAGATTAAGAAGTTTAAGGCCCGAGTATTTGTGCCACCATAATGACATTTCTTTTCTTTTAAAGCCAAGATTAATGTCTATAGGTCTTTCTCGTGCAGCTATTAATTGAAGATTCCACACATCAGACATGGCAGGACTCTACAAAACCTGTTGGGAGTTAGTATACTAAAACTCTTCGTAAAATGGCTTTACAATAAAGCAAATAAACAAAATATAGAGAAATTCCGTAGGAGAGGAAGGATAGGGTTGAACGTAAGGGAGAACGTTTGCCTTTGGGGGACCGACCTGGGTTTACCACGGACCGTTACTTACATGTAGAAGTTGGAGGGTGACATTGTCACTACGAACGTATAATTTGTAAACCTGCGATTTCCAACGCCCAGCTTCCATGATGGATTGCCGGGTACAACCTAACTGAAAAGCAGATCCAATCCTAAATGACTGGGCTTTAAATTTACCCCTACTTTTAGGCTTTTTATCAGACGGAAGAATATTGATATCTAGATAGTGAATGTGTACTGTGATGACAAAATAATAGACCCTAAATTCTGGGACGAACTTACATATCTTTCTACGGCTAACTGGGCAAGCACTATCATTTACTTTGTTGATACACCTTTACCATGTTGCCCGACTTTGGATCTTTTAATCAGCAAGAAAAATTGAGAATAATCTGCATGAAAGCTTATATCAGATATTTGTATTAATGTATTTGCATTGTTCCCAGTTGAAAATGCAAACTCTTTAATTCATAAAAATACAGGGAATGCTAAAGAATAGGCTGCACAAATCCTGATTCATTAGGCCATCATTAAAATAATGTTTGTTTACCCTCTCCCAACTCCGGGTAAAGTGAGAATTTTTTTCCCAGAAAATTTCAACATACTTGTTGATGGGATGATAAAATTCAGGATTAAAAAGAAAAAATATATCGTTTCTGGAGGTTAAAAAAAATTGAATCGGGCCATTTTTAGCCAGTCGATCGGGAGAGGGCAAACAAACAATTTCATAAAAATGGCCTAATCATTGAAACAGATACATAGCAATAAATCGACTAATATGGTCAACACTCTCGGGGTGATAGGTAATCTGGAATCAGATGCTCTTGTAAATCTTTTGAAGCAAGCAACTTGATAACAATAAAATTCTTGGTAACATCCTCCACGTTTCGTATTCTGCATTGTAAACATTGCAAACTCTGAACAATGTGATTTAGAGGTTGTGACCATTGCTTCTAAAAAATCATAAAAAAATCATAATAGACCTAAAGCACACCTAATTACCTACCTAGCATTATTTACTGTCCGACATTGAGATACGATTAACAGCAGTAATTTCGATACGATAAGTTTAAAAAGTTTTCCTTGTTTATTACGATAAGAAAAACATGAGAGTAAGCGATCTTCTCAGAAACGAAGATGAAAAATATGTCTGTATTTATAAAAGTCAATTTCTTGCAAATTTGAAGTCACTTTTTTGCCAAATGTTACGATATATTGAAAGAATGTGCATCGAACGGTAGATATGAGTTGTTTTCAAGTACTGTAGATTGGCAAATAATCACGATGGCTTTAATTTCACTATGTTCGTGATTCATCAATTTCCGCGAAATTAAACCCATCGTGAATGTTGTCATTAGTTTTCAAAAACGTTTAAATGCTTAGACGAAATTTAAATTAATTTCTTGCAGCGTGAAATTAAAACAATCGCGATTGGTACTTTTTGAGAAATCATAAAATTTTTACACCGTGGAATTAAAACGACATACGGTATTAATATATTTCAAATTAAGACTTTTACAGAATTTAATGAAGGAACAATTTTTTTAACAACTGTTTGAAACATATTTCTTACAGAAAGTCATAAGAGAAATATTAAGTGCACTTTTTGATTCCATGTTAGGAGTTTTAGTCACCATTTTCGACATACTGTTCAGCAGTTCTCCTGAAAAAAGACACGTTGTTCTTATACATTGAAGTGAAACTGGTTCTTGTTTACAAGATTATGAAAAACAACAATTTGAATTGATCAATATTTTTTATAGCTAACCCCCCTCTCCAGTTTTCAACCAAATTTTACATGTTACCAGTATCTCGCATCAAAAACGTAAACCGAATAAGAATAACACATAGGCCAGACTCAGTTAATTATGTATAGAACTCTATCACTTGGTCGAGTTCCGTATTTAAAAAAATCCTTTCATTAACGACAATATCATTGCTGTTACCAACTTGCACATCTCTTTATGACGAAATTTTATCCATTTCTTGCGGTAAGCTACTATCTGTATATATATTTGTGGTACTGGAATCGTTTTTGGGGACCTGAAAACGAAAGAGATTTAGGAGTGTAGGAGGGTGCTTGACCGAGGAAAACTACCACGGATGGGAGTGCTAGAACCAGACACTGAGCTTGATCCAAAAGTAAAATGTTGTGACTGATTTTGAAGGACATTCAATTGCAATGGGCATGTAGATATTGGATGCATTACATTGCATCCAATCTACTTGTGGGTATATGAACAGGTTGACTTGCTCCAGAAGTCCCTGTAATAAAAATGATCACATTTGTTATGCCAGTTTGGATTTGCCAGGAAAACGTGGATAGGTTGTTTACTGTTATGGGGTCCCAGAGAGCTGCATGATTATTAGCCAAAGTTCAGGGTCGGAATTATATAATTCTTCTCTGAAAACGCTCAGAATGTCGACATTAGCATAATTAAGTAATATGGTCTTCAAAACATCATTCATTGTTAATGAAGTTAAATTAGATCTCACACTTAGACATGTTTGTTATTTTGAACATACA